TATGATTGTATTAAGGACTGATTTATTTAATATATATATATTTCTATGATTTTTGAATTTAATTTGTATGTTGTATATTCATGACCTTTTATTTATAAATGTTCACTTATTGTGACTTCTTTCATAAAAAAGAAATCGTTACACTCTTATCTACAATTTTGACTTTCGCATATGAGAAAATTTTAAATTCATTTAGTTGACACTAAACTGGTGAGTCGAAATATCTTCCTCGCTTTTAATTACTTTCATTCAAATTTTAATCTTATTTATAAAAATAAAAAAGTTGTGGAATATTGTATTAATTATGACATGCTAAAATGTGCGTTATGTTTTATAACAAATTAGGTATGTTCGATTGATTTAATTTTTATACGAAATTTAAAAAATATGCTTTAGACCTCAGTATAAATATTAAAGTGTTTTTTTGTGTTTAATAAATTTAGCCTGATGAGGTTGGCAAACCTGGCCAACGAAACGTCGCTCTCCTGACCTGACGATACACATTTGACTTTATTCAAAGTTTTTACCTTCCCACGATCATTTATTTTCTACCAACAATAATACAATATGGAGGGATTTAATTCTAACTATTTATGAATAATCATTATACTTATAGGACGTCATCAGTTTTAAATTAAATTATGAAAATTCTGCTGAATTATGAGATAAAAGAACATATATATATACCTTAAATTGAAGAAGAGGAAAAAATGTAATAAAATTTGTTCTTGTGAAATTTGATTTCAGAATAAAAATAGAATATTGGAGATAACAGAAATCGGTGAAGCCATTTGATCTTCGAGTAAAGACTGAGAGGGCTGTAGGTAACATGTCGGTATGGGGAGGCAATACGAGCATAGAATATAGAGGAGGCCATTATCGCTTGTGTCCAAGTGTTTATCTTCATTTTTTCATTGTGCATCACTTTACTAAAGTCTTTGAAAATTATTTGTTTGTTAACTAATTTTATTTATTATTTACAAACTTACTTTGAATTCGAAAAATGGAATTAGAATTTTTTAAATTATCGAGTTAAAATAAGTCATGTGAATTAAAAATATATATATATAAATGTATAAACTGCTTACTTTACGCTTTTTAACAGTACATTGAACATTCAATGATCCGAGTGCATTTATGTCTTAGGAAATATTTCTGAATATTATTCTCGATTATGGTAAAATGATCTATTTTATAATTTTGTTGTTTTATGATTGTAAAATAGAAAAAAATCCACATATTTTTTGTTAAAATAGCCTTCAAGTATGGATGTATCTATTCCAATCATTTTGTATAGTAAACATACAAAATCAGTCTAATCCTTAATAACTAGAATGTAAAATTATACTTTTCTGCTCTAAAACACATTAAAATTAAGTACAAGAACAATTTGTCGCATCTTAATAGGGTAAATGAGGTGTGTGGTGGAAATATTCGAGTCACTTTATAATAAATTCCCGTCACCCATCAACAAGATTGGGCGCTTATCGGAACGAGGATTTTACGCGCTTTGAAAACTTTGCATTAGAAAACTTTGCATTATTCGTCCCTTCACAAAAAGGGAACATGGATGTGCTAAAGGGGACGTTCTAGTATGTACAATGGGTACACGCAGTTATAGATGTGGTTTTATACGTGGCTTTCGAGGACAATATAACAGTCTTAGATAATCCTGATTTAATAAATCTAACAGTTGTGTACCGATAACTGGGGGGTGCAACTTCCAACACGATAGCAACGTGTGCGTAACTAATGCGATAAAAAAGAGCAAGAATGACTCTAAAAAAAAACCTTTTAGCACGTGTACTAAAATGTATTACATTGAATTTAGACAAATTTATTTCATTCATACAAATTTATTACTTATATTTAATATACATATTTTGGGTTATTAATTTGAAAAAAATGTTATTAATGCGGAATACTTAATAAAGAAACTAAATAAATTATGTTATACACGGTATAAAGGAAATTTAAAATAGCAAATAAAGAAAAATGATAAATAATTATTTATGTGTATAAATAAAATTAACAACAAGTAAAAACAACGAATTGAAAAATAATTTGTTTTGTTGAAAAGTAATATTTTTTTAAAAAAAAATTATGTGAAGTTGTAATACCGACTCAATTTGATATACATATACTAGGTTGAAAAATATTTGACATGTATTTTTCTATATATGTCAGCAAAAATTCTTTTTTAGGGGAAAAACCCTACCCTTGCAATATGTACATTATATGAACATATATAGTAGGCCAAGCGATCCAATTTCTTGGACTAAAATCAAGATATTGTTAACATTGCCTGAAACTTGTTACTCTTTTTTTAGATAGCTCATTGCAAATCTGTAGACGAATTTTTAAAATTCAAAATGGCTAATTCAATATGGAGTCAAAATTTTTCTAAAAAACCGGTTCCCAAAAATAACTTCCCCCGCCTTAATGCGGGTATTCTAGTGTGTGTGTACAAAAAAATAAACATATCTTTTACATTTTCAGATAATTTATGGCTTCTAGATTATTTGTGTAAGGAGAATATCTTCAATTTATATGAAATACCTGAGTTATGAAGCCTTAATGATAATAATACGAAAGGGATCACCGCGTATCAAAAATATAACTCTGTTTTTTCTTTAAAACCGCGTGTTTTATAAAATTTACATTTGTTTAGATTTTTCTACATTTAAAAAGTCATATAGTTTTCTTCTAATAAAAAAACGATAAATAAATTTTAAAATTTCTCTTATTTTGTCAAATTTTAATATATTTTTACTTGAATCTGGTAAGAATAATACCTACAATCAAATATTTTAAGAAAATTTTTGGTTTTTGTGTTTTAGATTGGTCAATCATGTCAACCGTGAAATCACTTTTTTCAGGCGTTCTCTTCGATGACCTATCAACGCCACCATTGATACATTTATATTCATTTTATAAGTAATATTTTCTGTAATGTTAAAGATGTAAATATACATTTTGTTAAAAAAGTTTGATTTAAATATTATTTTACTTCTAGAAAAAAAAATCCTAACAGTAGTAAAAAAAAGTACTAATACAACACTAGAATACCCCTAACTAGGTTTAAATATTGTTCTGTTCAGTAATATTGGCTAGTCACTGAATAGAAAATCTAATTAACATTTCAACCTTGCAATTTTTTCGTTCTTGTAACTTTCATAAGGTTATTTAATTCGTCATTCACTAAATTGAGTTCAAACTTTTACATTTCAATTATGTAAAATAGTCAATATAGATCACATCATGACGAAAGGACTATACGCGATATTGCTTAAAGATCAAATTATGGTTATTCTGTATAAATTGTTTCTTAATTAACTCAATCACGAAACTAGTTTCACAAAATAGACGATATCACAGTACACGTTCATCAACTTTTAGTCTTTGATACCGACTTCATGAGATTCTTATGATTATGAATCTCATGCCTTTATCATCTGCCCGATCAAAATTGTTTTGGGAGAACTTTTGGAATGGAATCGCAAAGAAGCAGTTGCATCGGTCTTAATACATGAAATTTAGGTCGTTTGGAAGGGTATTTTGATGAGTTGAAAATTTGTATGAGGAAATGTATTTCTCAATACATTATTGTCAATCTCTGCTGCTATTATAAAACTTATTTGAGGCCTTTAAACTTTACTTGATAAAGTAGACTTAGCTTTGTTTATGGTTGCGAAACATGCTAGCTTCAATTAGTTATAAATATGTTATTTGTGGAGAGGTCAATGTTAGGAAAATCACCAATTATGAAAGAATTAAATTTAAATCGATCACATACTGAAGGGATCTAATAGGTAATTATAATCATTAAAATAACTCAACAAAAAAATTAATTATTTTCTAATTATATCATAACTATATAGAGATATTAGCCTTTGGAAATTTAATCTTTTTCTTTATAGAATATCTGTATAAAATTAACCGTCTGACTACGCAGGAATCGTGCTCACTTAAGGTGCCCCTCTGCACCTATAAAGCTTAAAATACGTACTTGGAGTCCGTGTCCCCACAACAATGTATTTAATTAACGTTACGGGCGCCAAGGGAGCGTGGAGCACAGACTAGAGAAGCGATTGCACCCACTGGGCATCCATGATCCCAGCCAGTACTGTGCTACTACACTTTACTAACCTAACTTAACTTCTCCTCCTCTTTTCATTCTTCTTTGTTTTTTCCTTGAGAGTTTACAGGCTTGCTCAATGACCACCAAGTCGAAAGTATAATTAAATTAAATGCATAAAGCTCTTTGTCTTAACGGATTACAAAATAAACTGCCTTCATATAAAAACTCTTTTTATTTTCAAATTATAAACTTTTAAACGATAAAATAAAATTAATTTTCTTTAATTTAAACAAAACATTGGTTAAAAGGTTTTTATTTAATTAAAAAAAATTTCAAACTTTAGAATAAAAATTTTTTGTCTGTGTTTATTAATATCTTATTGAAAGGAGTTTAAAAACAAGTTATAAGTTAATAGACACTTAAGTCAATTAAATGCTGGAGAAAACTATTTAAATTTCAGAATTTCAATACATAAGATTAGAATTTGTTAGTCAACTGAGACTGATAAAAGAAATCGAATTTCCAGTTACTTAAAAAAAATTCTCCCTCGAAAATGACCAGTTTCTGGAGATGAGCCATATATGTAATTTATTAATATATAATATAGTATGTCGCACTAATCCTGTCCCTGGCTAATCCGCCACCTCTTGTATAATTAGAACACGGTCGTGTTAGAATGTTGGAGGGTATAGAAGGAAAGCTTCGATTAATTGTAGACCGAAAATTTTGATTCAGTGAGAAAATTTATATGTAGAGTAAAACGTATACCCTTTTAGTAGAAATTAAAAATTACATTTTAGATGATCGTCTGACGTTGTAAACATCAGTTAAATATAATTATGATGATAAATTTAATTTTGAAAAATCACTGAATTTCCTTACATATCATTAGTAGTAAATAATAATCTATATGTTACAGGTATGGTTCCAGAATAGAAGGACAAAGTGGCGCAAGAAACATGCAGCGGAAATGGCGACGGCCAAGAGACGACAAGAAGAGGTGGAAGGTGTCGTGGCTGATGCCGAAGACGCATGTAGTGACAGTGAAGCTATGGGAAATAACAATGGAAACGGAAACAACGACACTGCAGCGAAAAGACTCCGTAGGGAACTCGAACAGCAATATGGTCCATGAATGGGAAGAAACGATTAGACTTTCCAGCTTGAAGAAAGGCGTGGCCATGGAGAATGGGGGCGTTGCAGAAATAGTCGGAGAGAATTCTCCAGCGTGAGTTCCCCCTACTTTTCTTCTAACCCTCCACAAATTCCAGTTCCACCATTCCCATCATTGAAACCCAGCTCTCTATGTCCTTCTGCCGTATTTCCCATATACAGAAGACTTGATATGATCATCTGATTTGAGCTTCCTCTTTTATTCACATTTAGAAAGGAAACAAATGACGGTTTCTTATCCGTTATCGGATTGTTCAAGGTAGAATCCTTGATAAAAATGAATAAGAGTGATTCGACAGGTCTACCCAGGCCATGATAATCGAAAATTCATGCAATAAAGAAGGAATCAACAGGTTTTGTGTATTATTTAAGAAAAAATGTTATGAATAGGAACATCATCAGTGTACATGTAACAATCAACTAAAAAAAATAATGCACAACTTATATAATTATTCCCAACTTTAATTTTATTCAATTTCTCAAAATGTAAAATAAAAATTATACTGTTAAATACTCCAGAAGCAAATATTACAATACATGTATTGGAAGTAATTTTGTAAAACGTAAAGTAACGGTAAATAAATAGGAAGTTGCACGATTATCGAGATCTCATCTCGATTTTTAGAGACAATGTTGCCAAAAAAAAACCTTTCGAGTTTATATACCACTGTCAACGAAATTTTCGTTGCGAATTGTAAGTTTCGTGTAATTAAAATTATTTCCTTGCAATTTGGAAGATATATTCATTTTTTACCAAATAAAAAAATTTTTATTGTTCACTAAAAGTGTGTGTAAAGATTTCATTCTATATGCTTATTGGTCAAAAATACTTTCTTTAATAAATTTATAATTGTTTTAAGTCACATTCAAAGAATATTTTATGTTACAAAGAAATTTTTGACCAATAAACAAAGAGACTGAATTAAAAATATATTCACAATTTTATTTCAATTATGATCGACATTTTTATAATATAATCTTGTTTATAATATTTATGTAATTAAAAAAATGTCAAAGTGTTCGATCAATTTACTTTTGTAATTATAAAATGCGATTTTTTCTTCTACCGATCTTTAATAAAATTTGTTTTATACAACACCCTTTCGCCTTTTAAAGAAGAGCCTTATCAGAATAATATAAAAATTGTTAACACTTTGAAAAAATAATAATAATACATATGTTGAGGAATCATATGCAAATGAACTAAATCAGCTGCACACACCTATAATACTCGCAGAGTGCAATAAGAAACAAAAACCGGAACAACTATAAAAACATTTATGTATTAATGTATATTAAAATATATCTATTATTTAACTATTTATATCATGTTTTAGATTATAAAATATAATTTGGAAACATAATAATTTCATCCGCGGTTAATTGGCGCTGTTTAGAACATAATATACCTTCACTATAATAATTTATTTCTTAAATTTATTATTTGTGGCTCAAATATATTTCAAGATATCATTTGACAAAGTTATAAATATATAATTATAATTTTTACGAAATTTCTTATTTGGACTGTGACTAATTTATAAAATTTTAATCATATAACAATATTATTTTGTTCATATTTTTACCTTGTTTTGGTCATATGAAGTAGTAAAATATATTTAAATAATAACTTTTAAACTTTTCAATAAAACAACATTTTTGTAAAACATATAATTAATAATTAATATGATATAATATATATGACCAAACACATGATCTACTTTAATTTTAAAGTATGAAATTAATTAAATGATTTTATTCATCAATAAATACTTATTGTTGCCCGGCATCACATTATTTGTTCGCAAACTTTATGTGATTCTTGTTAAACATGGCAGCTACAACTAATATAATATATATATGTTATTTGTAGGGAGGTCAAAGTTAGGAAAAATACCAATAATAAAATTTTTTTAATTTAAATCACAAAACAAGAGATGCACAACTGCGTCTTAACACCACCAGAAAGAGAATGAACAAAAATGGATGACTTTTGCCAGGTCACGCTTTGACACTGCGCCCCCTTCTTCCTCGGTGAGCATCTGTACTAATGTTACAAAATTGTCGATAATATCGCGCGTTGGTAAGGTGGTTCTATTGCGTTGCCTACAGGGGTCCTCGTCTCTACAGGGAGAAAAATGGCTGACTCTGATATTTTGACAAGTGATAAATAATCATTAATCGATTCTTATAATATATGTTAGATAAAGGCACATGACTGAGATAAAGGTAATTATTTATAATGAAAACGTAGTTTTATTATTTGGTTCCTCATTTTCGGGATTTTTTATTTCAGAAGAGTTTTGACTTTGTTTATTTGAAAAAATATTATAAAAATGTTAATTTCGAAAAAATTATTACTATTTTAACTGTTTTAAAATTTTTAAATATTTATTAATATTTATATAATCAATAAAATTAATTAATATTTCCAAAATTTCTTTCCTTGATTTATCAATTCTATTTTTAGTTTAATATAGCCATGTGAAACTTGAAATATCAATTTTGTATGAATTATTCATATTTGTGAAAATTACTCATTTAAAATTCCAGCGAAAAATTCGAGTCATTAACTTAAAATAAAGTAATTTATACGCGAAAAAAAAATTCTGATTTATTAAAAATTTTCAAATTTACATTTGTCAGAATTATAGAAAGTGGATTTTATAATGAGCCTAATTTTAATGTCAAAGAATTTCTATTTAACTAAACTTTGATACAGCAGATTTTCTAATACATGGAATTTTCAAATGATACAATTTCCATTTAACACCCTAGCGATGGTTATCCACTTTCAATAGTCTGGTAAATTTTAGATAAAATTTTTTGTGGTGGTAAGAAGAAAAAAATATATGTGGAAAACAAATAGAATTAAATAAGGACGTTTACGGTACAAGGGAAGTATTCCCCAGTACCGGCGTTGCTAGAAGTGAGCAAGTTGGCTTCCCAGAGTCGAAATCCAATGACAACAATGCTGCAGTATTAGACACCTTGGGTACTGCAGCATTCAATGACACAAGGAGGTTGGTCCATGGGGATACTCAGTTTCTTAAGGTTCCCCTGGTCTGTTTGGAAAGACGTGGAAGTAGAAGAGGAAGCACTTTAAGCGTTTCTAATATCAGCAGCGGAAGAAATTTGATTCCAGACAACGAGACAATTGAAGAAGAACGCGAGAAGTGTTTAAAATTTAAGCAAGAGGAAGCTATTAGTGTCTTCAGAGGATCGAATAGGTGATCGCCAAGATGGTAAAGTATTGCGAAGTCCAGAAGAATGTCAACATGACTATTAAAGACGGACTTAAGAATCTTCCGGATCTTGTCAGTGAGGCAGATAATGGAGATAGCAAACTTGGTGGCGCTATAAGCAATTTGGAGGTGAACTGAAAAGAGCGAAACGCAGGAAAAGAGTTAATCCGGACGTCAGCAACACGCAGGTTGTGAGCGAAGAAGAAGGTAAGATCTCTTGATCAAGATCGGAGGATACTCCAATAAGGAGGCATTCATCGCTGAGGTCACTAAAGTGATTGGAAGCATGGGGAAAGTGCAGACCGAGGATCCACAGGTGACACTGGAGATCCGCGACCTGGATTTCTAAATTTCTAAATATTTATATATAAATAAATATGTTTGTAAATAAATTATTGTTTAAAAATAAACAAATAAGTGTATTTGCGAATAAAAAAATTCTATAAATAAAGAAATATTTATAAACCAATTAATTTTTATAAAATCACTTACAATGTAATAGTTAATTTTATCAAAATGTATCCAAATACTTTATTCTCGATCATTGGTAATTGTGAAAGATGTTTTCAAATACATGATTCCTGTATGCGTGAACTACAACTACAAAGAAGAGGGCTCACAAACACATTTTACATCGATGAGATAATCTTTCTATAGTAGCTGGTACCATCAGAAAATTGACTTACAAAAAGTAAACTATTTAAAGAGAAATCATTCCTATTCACATCAGTATTATTCAGCAGTTAATTAAATATATAATAAGAATTACATTTCATATTATTTAATAAAATATATAATTATTATAACTATTAATTACTCTCATTTGACTTTAAACCAAAATAGGCCAAAATTTTTTATTCTTGCAAAAATCCTCCCCTTCTTGAAGAGTTTGACGTAAATTCTTTCCTGTAGTTTCGGGTAAAAAAAGAATTAAAATTGAATTTATTAATGTCAACGTTGCAATTATTAGCATTGGTAATTCTCTCCATGTACTGGCCTGTAGGAGTAAAATAAATTATATAATATTGTATCTAATTGTAAGACCTGCTCTCTTAATCTGTATTAGTAAAAATTTTAACTAATTTATTTTCAGAGAGAGTTTATTAGATCTGAACTAGCGGATTTTTTGTCCTTATTATTAAACTTAACAAGAACTGAAAACATCATTAGTCTTAGGGTATTTGGTTATTTTAATTAAATTAATTAAACTGAATTAATTGTTTGAATTAAACTAAATTAATTATTTGAATTAAACTTAATTATTTGAATTAAATTTAATTATTTAATATATTTACCAAAACAATAAGATAGGGCGCAATGAAGTGCATGAGAACACTTACAAAATGAATCAAAGCACTGCCCTGTGTTCTCAGAGAGGTTGGAAAAAATTCAGCAACATATTGACTGTATAAAATTTGCACAAAACCTGTACACATTCTACCTAGTGATCCGGCAACAATTTTTACAGTTTCTGTTAAAATTTTTTAAGAATAATTATATAATTAGATTGCAGTCATATATATATTTTTGTTTCGTTACTTTTGAGTTGAGAACATTCAGTGTGCCCGTAATTAATTTAATTTATATAAATAGATTTGATTCCAAATAATTGTAAATACCATTTTTTGTAAATACTAATGTAAAACCAAAGACTGTAGCTAGAAGGAGGCCTAAAAATCCACTAAATCGCAGACCCCAACGAATTGAAATTAATCTAGTAAATATTGCAGCTATAAAACATTCAACACTGAACCAAGTGAAAGACATAAAAATAGACATGTCATATCTATTTGAATAATAGATATATGTATCCATTGTTAATGTAGACTGTGAACTGAAAATTATCAAATTAGTTATGAGATTAATTTTATATATTTATGATGCCTGCACTTAAATATTAATTATTAAATCAAATTAAATTTTTAATTAAATAAATATCGTTCGATCCAAATAAATGATTTACCTGTCTATTATCCATTAAATATGTATGTAAACCAAATAAATATTTGCTAAACTTACAAAACAATTGCCAAAAGGAGAACATTTTTTGCAAGACTAGGAGTACTTCTTATATCCAAGAGAGTTGCATTTTCAACATTTTCCTTTCTATAAGTTATATTTTCCTTAAATAGCAAAGGAAAACAACAATTTATTTTTAATTAATCATAATTTATATTTTATAAACTATATTTTTCCAACTCACCAAAAATTCTTCAAATACCCCTTCTCTTGGAATTTTATTGTTAACTTTTGATATTCTCCGTAGTTTTTTAAGTAATTCATCAACCTTTCCTTTTGTCAAGTACCAACTTTAAAAAACATTTTTTTTTCATTGAGAAATAATTTTCTTTATATAATCGAAACAAATTAATTTAATGCTTTGTCTAATTTCTCTAACCGTGCACTTTCTGGCATGAGGAAAGTAATGAAAAAACAAAGTAAACATGGTAATGAATTAAAGTATGCAAAATGTCTCCAATTTTTAATTATATAAGGCGACCATGTTACGACTAATAATCCTAACGCGAAATTAAATCCAAATACTAGGCAACCAATCTCTGATCTTCTTTTTGCAGAAGTGTATTCTAAAACTACATTATATTAAATTATATTAAATACAATTCTTAATTTATTTAAAAAATTAATTTTCAATTTAGAATTAAAAATTAAATAAAAATATATTCACCGATAATAAATGGAATTATTATAATATTATCATATGCAAAACCCATTAAAAATCGACAAATGGCAAATGTCCAAAAATTATAAGAATTGGCTGTTCCAATTGACGCTATAAATGCAGTTGCTGAGCAGCATAGTAATCCTCTAGTTCGACCATAACGATCAGAAATCCAACCAAAAATGAAATTTCCAAAAATTGATCCAAAATAGAAGATTGATTGTGCTGTTGCTATTAAATATTCTCTATTGCAAACCCAATTTAACTGAAATTACATTTGTGTACTTGAAAATGAAATAAACTATTAAAATAATAAATAATAACGTTTAAAAAATATTTTAATGTGTAAAAAATCATTGTGCTTTTTTTAATTAAAGGTCTTAATAATTATTTTACCTCGACTCCAATACTAGCGTAGGGAACATCGTTAAAATCATATTCCCATTGATTACATTGAATTAATTCACCTGTCTCCCATTTTGAGATATTAAATTTATCAGATGTTGTACTGCTGTTTTGTAAGTTTAATTTTTTATAATGACATCTGTCATAGTATGGGTATTGTTTAGATTGCGGGATAACCAATTGAAATCTTTAACCATTAATAAAATTAATTATTTTTATTTAATAAAAATTAATTCATTAATTAATTATAGTAGAAATTTATTTGAAAAAATTTTAATGAAATAAAACTTATTTCAAGGGAAATTCAAATAGGGGAGTTTTTAATAATTAAAATGAAATTATAAATAGAATATAAGGGTATAATTATAATTAAATTTATTTTTAAATATCAATGAATAAATACTTTTGCTCCTGCGTTAAATTTAGATCCGACACTTCATTTACTTTACACCAATGTTTTTGTGGTATTACCGTAATAAATATTTGCGAGAAAAAAACTATTAAGAATGCAATTGCGAATGGAAAAAAAATCAATATTAATGTCAACTGATATTTTCCAAAACCACCGACATGTGATAAAATGTCATCAAACACTTCCAATTTTCTCTGCTTTTTGAGATTAAAACATTCTTCATTTACATCATTTAGTTCTTTTTCCATTTTTGACAATTTAAATATTTTTAAAAAAATTCGAGTTTGGAATTTTTTGTCGTTGCTTTCAAACACAACAAATGTTTACTATGAGAAATGAAAATATAACATTGTTATAAATAATAACTGGTGTATTTTTATATTTTAAACTTTTTTTTTATTCAGTACTATAGTTGAGTAAACTAAACTTGTAAGAACCTGTAATTTAACTGTCAAGAGTTCAATATAATAGGCAATATAAATGATTCATGCTTTTAAATTATATTCTTTCTGTTATCGTACATATATTTAAAGTTTCTTGAATTGTAACAAATAATTTTTCCGAGTGTTACGTAAAATTCCTTTCAATATTTCTTGTTTTAAATTAATTTCAATTGCTTGATATCAATTTGGGATGAGGAAAGGTCAGTGAATAATTAAATGACCAAACGTTTTATCAAATTAGGTCTTTACTATAAGCGGAGTCATTATATAAACGGATCCTTCTGTATTTGTTTTTCATTAAAAATTTATTAAAGAAAAATTTATTTTAAATTTGAATTTAAAATAATTTTGAAGACAAATTATTTGACACGTCTTGAAATTGAAATTTTCTGTTGACAAGTAAAGTAAATTTTAAATGCATACACGATATATATTATTGTAACTAATGCAAGTAACCACTTAGAAAGAAGCAGGAACAAATGGGCGATGGAACTATTAGCATATCGAAATAAGCTGCTACGAATTTAATAAATCTTCGGTGAAAATTTGAAGATAGAGAGGGAAGTATACGATGTGCCTTATAGAGAATGAAGGCAGCAGATCTAGCAGTCACAGATGTGACTGTACCCTTAATGAGGGAGCTATTTTTCACGAGTATTTTTATCCCGTTTATTGGCCTCTCGTTTCACAAACTGTCGGCTGGATATTAATCATTCTACTCTTATGACTTGAAATTTTATTTCTTCTAAGGATAAAGGAGGTTAAACAGGGGATAGACGGAAAGAGACGAAAGGGGACGACGCAGATTCAAGCTCTTTCATTATTGTTATTAAACCTGCTTCCACAGATAAAGTTCTTTCTGTAGAAGGATTTTTGAGGACGATGGATCACGCTTTGTGTGGCACAACATTTTAAATTAATATTCCATTCTCGTTTTAATAAAAAAAAATTAAGTACAATTCTTTCATTTCTAAATCACTTTTTACAATACCGATCAACTGCTTTTAATACCTGTTATTTACATCTTTGAAAACATTATTATAAATATAATCATTATAATAAATGTTCGAATTAGTGATTGTTTTCTAACTTATAAACGCAGTTGCTGTATATTTTTTCATTGGATATTTAAAAAGTGTAGAGATATCCATAGATATTTGAAAGATATTCAAAAAACATCTTTGCGATATTCAGAAGCTGATATACCAAGGGGGATTTCTCAAATGAAAACGATTTCGAACGTTTCCTGATCAATAAACCAACCATTATTCCAGAAGTTTGTTTCAGACTATTGCAATGTAATATTCGAACTAGTATAAATTATCTTCTATTCTTTAATGCGCTCGCAAAACGAAGTTGCCACTTTGCCCATTCCTACTTTTTCTTGAAACCTTTTATCCTCTTTGTCATTACTGCCACCCTCGTGAGATTTTTCCAAGGGTTTGTGCCAACTTTTTTCATATTCCAATTAGAATATTTTCCTTTGATTTAATACTCTTGAAAATCAGTTATTAACGACTTAACTTTCCAATAAATTTACAGTGCCGGTGCCATATTGTAAAAGGGTCACTCCTTCTACAATATATACTTGCAAAAAGTAGAATCGTGTAAAACTTCTGTACTATTAGCAAACCCTGCCTTTTATAAATTAAACAAAAAAGAAGTTTATGACAATAATTACATTAAACGGAAGTTTTACGCTGAAAATTCATATGAGAGCTAGCCTATTTTTTTAATGTCAGAATTGATGGAAAATTTCTATTGTGAATAGTGTTTCTTCTATGGTTGTCCACTAATCTCACAACTATTAGGTTGACATTTTTTATAATCTTCCCCCTCACACTTTCCACACTGTTCTAGAATACATTTCTCCAGCCCTTACTCTTCTCACTCCCTATTCAACCAGTCTCTCATTCTGTCCCTCTTTCTCTTTCTCCTTTTCTACAGAGTCACCGATGTAATCCCGGATTCAGCACTCAATTTACCACGTTACACAGCGGTTTCTCTGCAACGTTCTTCCCTGAAATTCCACCACCATTTTAGTCAACATAACCCACACATAAGCGTTCCACGTGTCTCCCCATTTCGTTGTCGCCTGCACATACAATATCTCTTCGTTCATTTCTACTCAAATCCCTGCCCACCGGCTGTTAGAGCTCATCTCAATCCCAAACCTTCGTTCATGAGAGAAGAGAGAAGAAAGAGGTAAATACATAGTAAGTTAAACTTGAATTTGTGTGCGTACAAACTGAACTTGTAACAAGCAGCGCACCCCATGTTGCATTTAAATTAGATAAGATAAGTCAGTCAATACTGTACTTAAAGTTAAAACCTAGGCTTTAGTATCGTTTTGAAATTAAGGGTAAATCTATGCGGTGTTCTCAATGATGTGCGACTAATCGACAAAAAAGATGACTATACAGAATAATGTTATTTTATATGTTTTTCTTTATATACTTCTCATTGAGACTTTGGTATCCTCATTTTTTGAATTTTGCTATGAATAACGATTTAATATTTACCGCATTTTAAGAATTTTCTATACTTGACACAAGTTCAGTTGAAATACTGGCGTTCCATTTTTAAGGAATTTTGCATTAATTTAGTTTAGGTTAGTTTCAGGTTGGCAGGCTTTGTTTATTTAACAAAGAAGCTATTCATTTTGGTTATTGACACGTTTCAATGTTCAAGTTATCGCGAGCTTGACATTGGAAAATTCGCTTAGTTGTATTAGTAATTCAGAAATATTATTTAATTCAATTATTCTAATTCAGTTTCATTTAAAGTTCAAATCAGTTTACAATAACTCGTTTTTCCGTCATGGGTCCATTCATCGATACAGAGCATTACTGTAAGTCATTTTTAATAATTATCAATAATAATGTTTCACCTTCTTGCTATTGTTAATAATAACGGAATAAAGTCAAGTTACAGTTTATAAAGAAAATATTATAAAATCGCTTGTTTATTCTATTGAAAATATAATGTTCTTTTATTGTAACGTTTTGCTTATTTTTATCGCATTTGATTTTTCTAAGATTTGAATTGACGTAAAATTAAGTTCTAAATATCGAGTCATTTTGTATTGAATTTGAGATCCAATTTATTCAAAGTTTAGTGATTTTAGTAATAAAAAATATTTGTTAGTTACAGTAAAATTTAGAGATTAAACTTAAGAGTAATTATTGAGTGTAAAAATACGTTACAATTCATATCGAATTTTGAAAAATAGGATTAAAATTAAAAATCCAATTGTAAAACAAAGAAAAATCTAAAACTGATATTTATAAGTTAATATAAAATATATTTGTTTCCCTTTCATAGAATACTGAAACAATATTTTAGAGGGACGTAGTAAAATTCTATGAAGGGGAATAAATAATTTTTTGGGGTGAAATCAAATGCTTCTTTTTACAAATGTGGAATATATTTTTGTAAATGGCTTTTTGTCAGCTCTTGGAAATTAGAATATCCATAAGTCCTTGGGATGTTCGTTGATATCTTACATTATAGGAGGGCGCATGAATTTCCTATCAAAATTAATGGTTAGAATTTTTATTTTCAAGAATTCTTTTTCTCCTTCAGCATTTTGATAAACTCTGAATATTAATTATTTCAACATCACTCATTATCTCCGAAATATGGTAAGTTCCAATTTCGTCAGCATTAAAAATATCACAAGGGTCATAAATACAGGTGTACATTAAATAAGTACATCTATTAATTAATTAATTGAGTACATTTTGTAAAATTTCTTTTTCCACATAAAAAAGTTAATAATTACTGATAATTTTTATATGATTATCATGGTTATGAAAAATCACGTCTCTATTTTCTCAGAACATAAAAATGTTAGTTTATTCCCCTCTGATTCAGAACTGGGATCATTACTAGCATAAAATTGAAGCAAACACTATTAAAATGATATCGTCTACACCAAAGAGACTATACTTAAAAAATGTCATTCATGTTTTTAGTGTGTCATTAAAATTTAGAATCAAAACTGCTTTTCAATTTTATCAGACAAATTTAGAATCACTTTTATTTATACTGGATCTTAAATCTTATTCTGCAAAAAAAATTGAATGGGACGGATGCCAAAACTCGAATACCTGGAGAATATGAAATGGAAAGATGAATCTGTTGATGGTTTTTAAAGCGTTGCAAATACCTTTGGGAAATATTTCGCTTCTGTTTATGGCTCATCTACTTTTAGAATATCTCGAATGTCTTCAATCCAGGTTAATAGCAATATATTGTTAAAGCTTATATATACAACTTGATAGTTGCGACATATGTATGATGTATTTGATTCCCTCATAACGTTTAGAAATTTTAATTCTATTTTATTATAAGATTCGGATTGATTATACAGACTTATTAAATTTAGTTTTATTAAAATTGTCAGGATTCACTTTTTATTCAATAAGTCATTAAACTTTCAAAATCTATGATCGATAGAGATATAAACATTGAATATCGTAAATGAAATTTTTAAATTTGAGAAATTGAGAATATTTGTCATGCATCAATATCTTCTTTAGTATTAAATCGAGCTAGTTTGTAGATTTATGTGTATCATTTCCAATATCAGTCTCATTCCTCGAACCTTCTCTCCAATGCACTATAGCGACCCCATCAAAGTCGAAATCATGTCCATATTCGATATGTACTATGCATTGCAAATGCATTATCTCTCTACTCTGACTCATGAAAAAAAGACTCGACGTTCGCGTATCATAAAAAGAAAAGATGAAGCGTAAAATAAAAGTGGTGTCAAAAAATTTCTTCTAGGAAAATTTAACTAAAATTTTCATTCAAATTAATTAAAACCTGCTCCGTGCTTCAATGTCTTTCTATGTAAATATTTAATAATAGTTTATTAAAATATTTCTTGACTTAAGAAAAAATTATATTTTTTCCATTTAACACTTAATGATGAACTTTCA